TATATATATATATATAAACATTAATTCTAAGAAATTATTCTTTTCTTAGAAATTATGGTAATTAGAAGCGATGTTTATTTTTTTGATATAAGCGCAACTCTTCCTTTCGTCGCTCGACTATTGATTCTCGCCTCAGCACGCGCGCGTGTGTGTGTTGTACATGTGCGAGAGACAATTTCCAAGAGTTTCCGTATTTTTCTCCACAGGTGCTTCTGGACGAAGCCGACGTGTCAACGTTGAATGTTCAATGGTTGCGTTCGCACATCGGCGTGGTCGGTCAGGAGCCGGTGCTCTTTGACACGACGATACGGGAGAATATCCGCTACGGAAATGACAGCATTACCGAGGAGGAGATGATCAAAGCCGCGAAGGAAGCGAACGCCCACGACTTCATCAGTAAACTGCCGGAGGTGAGCGCCGTCGACCTTTTCTCGTATTCCAATCGCGCTCTTTGCCCGTCCGGGATTATAGTTTCCTTTTAGTCGCGCGAGTTCGATTGATTCAGCCAGTTTCAACGGGAAGTTACAGAATCGACAGACACGTCGGGGCGTCATCCGATTGAAAACCCGACGAAGATATTGTCCACTCGAGTTTGATTCTTCCGCCAAAAGCTTCCTTTACGTATTACATGTTACATTTATCAGTCAACTTCTTGTACTTAGGTAAAAGTACAATTTATAATTATAAGCCAAAAAAGATTGCTATTATTTTTCCCAAGTCATAATATTTAAATCTCTTACCTAGAACTTTGATAATTTGCAGAACAAATAATTTTACGCAATTTCATTATTCGATGAAACTTTTCCGAGCACGCGTAAGTTTCGAGATTTGCCGGGCGCAATTAAATGTAACGAGATAAAACGATAAATAACGACCGACGAAATGATTTTCCAGTTACGAGAATAATTTCCTGATTGGATATCGCGCGCGCGCACGCGATACAATGTGTTAACAATAGTCTCAGGTGTGCCTGGCAGTCCGCGTGGTACGCGCGCAAACAAGCGATAAAACACGCGTGTTGAACCGTGCACGGAGCAAATAACATTATCCGAGATTACGCCTATGTCAACGATTAGGCGTTTATTAACGGATTATCGGTGGGTGAGTTCGATACTCGCGACGATTCTCCATTGGATTCGCTGCCGCGTTTGCATTTAGAGCTTACATCCACACACGCATTACGATTTAAACATGTATATTCCGCATATGGTTGCAAAAATGAGTCCTGCATGGAAAGAGTAAATTTATTATTGTTGTAATTAATCGGCGAGCCACGTGTCGCCGCGATAATATCTATCAATATAATATCCGAATTATTTCCATCGAATTGCATCGGATGTAAATAAATTTGGTTATCTTCAAATAGTAGAATTCTTTATATTATTGAGGAATTCTTGGTCTCTTCAAAGCATTTTTTTTTATTTATTAAAAAAACACAGGCTATATAGATTCGAAATGAGAATGGAGAATGCCGTTATCAACGAACGCGTGTCCCAGCTTGCGAATTTATTAAACCGCGCGTTCCATATGCACCGCAGGTGTGACACGCTGTTTCGCCCTTGATTAAATAACCGTTATTTCAAACCGCAAATCGCTCGAAAACTGCCCTCGGGCAATTGACGGCCCGATACCACGGTCGGTATTGCCCTCCCATCTACGAATCCGCGAACAACATAATTCTCTTGTGAGTTTAAATAAAAGTAATATATCGAAAAAAAATCGTCAGACAAAAACTAAAAATAAAAAAAGAAATATTTCGTCGAAGAATTATAAAGAAATTACGTCGTTGGAGTGAAAAGATTTTGTCGTATGCGTTTTTTGTAATTATTTGTAATAATTTTTAATTAAAATTTAAGATTAAGAAAATTTAATTAAAATTTAATTAAAATAAAAAGGAACACAACCTATTATGTAAAAAATATTTAAAGAATTAACTCTTTCTTAGAAAAATTTATCTCGAAACACGCTTTTTTCGTCAACATGTACTATATCAACTCGATCGTCGCGTATGAGAGGATCGGAATAATAATATCATCGATTTGAATTTAGGGATACGATAGTCCAGTGGGCGAGAGAGGCTCTCAATTATCTGGCGGACAAAAGCAAAGAATCGCTATCGCACGTGCGTTAGTGAGAAATCCGGCAATTCTTTTACTGGACGAGGCAACATCCGCTTTGGATGTTCACAGCGAGGCGACCGTGCAAAGAGCTCTCGACACTGCTGCGAAGGGAAGGACGACGATTATAGTCAGCCACAGACTTTCCACGATCACGAATGTCGATAGGATCGTATTTATTAAGGACGGGGTCGTCGTCGAGCAAGGTACCCACGAAGAATTAATCGCGCTCAAAGAACATTACTACGGATTGCATTCCACCCATGCAGATGCTCGAGCTAAAGGTATTTTTATAATATTGTATGCGCATCGAGATATTATTATGAACATTTTCGTACATTGTTAATAATCTGCCTGTTCAATATTAGATAAGGCCACGAAAGCTGCCGCCAAGGCCGCGGTAACAAGCCCGAAGATGAAGACGAAGCCGCCGCTGAATAAGCAGTTTTCAACCATGTCTTTGCATTCTCATCGATTATCCCTCGCAAGATCCGAATCCTCACAAGAGGAACTTGAAGAGCATGAGAAACCTTATGATGCGCCATTAACGAGGATATTTGCGCTTAACAAACCGGAATGGCTACATAATCTAATTGGTAATTTCTAGCTAACGAGAATAATTAATAATAGCAGTAACTAATAGCTTTTGTTGATAGCTAAGAGTCAGCTCTTTGAACGAAAATATAGAAAGCAAATATATCGAAGCAAACATATCGAAGCAAATATATCGAAGCAAATATATCAAAGCAAATATATCATATAAAATAAATAAGAAATATTTACAATGATAGAAAAGAAAGAGAAGGAGAAATAATCTGAAATTTTCTCTCCTTAAAATCTTCTCTCTCCGATATGGCAATTCGAACAATTTATTATTCGCAACTATATTCTTCTTCAGGATGTCTCGCGGCGGCGACGGTAGGAGCATCCTTCCCGGCCTTTGCCGTGTTGTTCGGTGAAGTATACTACGTGCTAAGTCTCCAAGATCCGTATGACATCACTAGGAGGACCATCAATTTCTCGATATTATTCATCATCGTCGGTGTACTGACGGGTATCGGCACCTTCCTGCAGATGTACATGTTCGGCTTGGCCGGCGTGCGTTTGACCACGCGGATAAGGAGGATGGCGTTCACCGCGATACTCAAGCAAGACATGGGCTGGTACGACGAGGATACGAATAGCGTGGGTGCACTTTGCGCGAGATTGTCGTCTGACGCCGGCGCTGTTCAGGGCGCGACCGGAACTCGCGTCGGGGCCATGCTACAAGCCTTCTCGACCCTCGTCATCGGAATCGGATTGTCCATGTATTACACGTGGAAGATGACGTTGGTCTCGGTGGTATCGATTCCTCTGGTGCTTGGCGCGGTCTTCTTCGAGGCGAGAGTGATGGGCGGCCAGGGTATGCAGGAGAAGAAGAAAATGGAAGCGGCTACGCGAATCGCCGTAGAGGCGATAAGCAACATCCGCACGGTTGCCAGCCTTAACAAGGAGGAGCGCTTCTTCAACAGATACTGCGTGGAACTGGACCATGTCGCCAAAGCGACCAGAACCGGAAGTAGATTGAGAGGCGTCGTGTTCTCGTGCGGACAAACCGCACCCTTCTTCGGGTACGCCATCAGTCTTTATTACGGCGGTTACTTGGTGGCCAGGGAAGGGCTCAGCTATGAGAAGGTCATCAAGGTTTCGGAAGCGTTGATCTTCGGCTCGTGGATGCTGGGCCAGGCGCTCGCCTGGGCGCCCAATTTCAACACGGCCAAACTTTCAGCCGGCAGAATCTTTCGGCTGCTCGATAGAGTGCCGGAAATCAGTTCGCCACCGGAATCGGAGGGGAAGGATCTGGATTGGGTGAGTTCATCTCGATATTATATTCAACGAGTATAAATTTGTTATACATAAACCGCGGATACACAGCATGTATTTCGGCAATCGCGCACTTTCACTTTATTGTGCTTTTGTGTATTTAGCGCTGACCATCAAACAAATAATATTTGCGAGATTCAAATGTAAATTCAAATTGCGGTCAATCCATTGAACTGCTAAAATGCTTAATATCAAATAATAATAAAGCTACACAAAATATAAGACGAAGATTTAATTAATTTCCGCCGAAGAAGAATAGAAAATTCGCTAAAGAATGCAAAGTCGCGATAAAGCAGCGATTTAGTGTGTTTAGAGAATTAATTCTAACTTTTAATTAGTTTCTTACAATGTTAATTGAAATTTACACGATATTAAACACAGCATTTAAATTTGCTACAGAATCGTAAAATTGTTAAATCATTAGTCTTGGAGATTTACTTTAGTGCCGAACAGTTATGTGAAATCCAAAATGATTCTTTTTATTGTGTAATAATTCCTATTGAATAATGAAATAAATTCATAGGTTCTACCGAATAATTAAAATATAATCAAATTAAAATTAATTAAAATAAAAATAAATAAATTAAATTAAATTAATCAAATTAAAAGCGAAGAAATTCTTGAATATCCTATATATGGAAAAAAATGGATTTCCTATGAATATTGAAAAATACCAAAGAATTAAATTGTCTCCAGTCTGTTTTATAAACATCTGTTTTATAAACATTTATAGATATATTTTAGTCTTAATTTATTTTATCTTTTCAAATATTTTTCGATTCATTTATCTTGTCACAAAAGTCCATTGCACAATGAAACTTCCATATCGTATGTAATTATTAACGAGAGCTTGAAAATTTATAATATACTCGACAAATAAGTTAGATACATAGGACTTAAATAATTTTGATAATCCGTGAAGCGTAAATTAATCGAATGATTATCGCAACGCCTTGCCGTGAACATCGCTGATTGCCGGATACAAGCTTAAGCTTCAAATTCTGGTTTTCTGTTTCGTTTGCAGTGCAACATGTTTACGCATGCGAAAACCGAAATGCTTATGCAAATGCTGTCACATCTATTAGAAATTTACGGCTGTTTAATAACAGCCTCAAGCAACGTCTCGTTAATTAACGTTCGAAACGTTCGAAACTCTGATTGATTCCATCAAACTGACATCACATTCAAACATATTTTAATGAAGCGTAAATTAAATAAAGCATAGTATTTGTTAGAAATATCTTTAAATAACAAGTCACTCAAGCGCGCGATTATATCAATCTTTTCCCACCATTTAAAAAAATAATTAAAAAACA